AATTATATATATATTTTAGAAGACAAAAAGTTTGTTCTATTAAAAATTACCAAAAAATATGATTTCAGGATTTTTTACATAAATTTATATATATAAAGTATGTATCCGTCTAAAACAGATTTCATAACTTGTAATAAATAAATAAATGACTCATAATTTTCTAAATAATTTATAAACTTGTTATAAATAAACTTGTTAACGTTGATACATATTTAAAAAAATTTATTTATATCCGATGCATAATTTACGATATTAATCGATGTAATATTCGTGTAACTTCATTGGAAAATAAATTTTATTCGCGTATAAACAGGCTGAACTGGATTTAATATACACCGGTATATAAATGTTATACATCTTCATACAAGCAGTGCATGAGAAACATTGATTCGATTTCTATTTAGCATCGGTTAATTATCCGGGCGGGCAACTAAATTCCGGATTTACGCAAACATAGGCAATCGATGCCTTCCATTTGCAAACACGTTTGGGAGCATATTTATGGAACTTTCTTTGCAAACATACTGATAGGAAAATATATAATCCCGTATTATTTAATTAGATTCAAAATGTAATTTAAACCTAACTTAATTTAACCGAATTAAAAATATTTTCCACCCGATTATCTGCTCTCGTCCCTCCCGGAGCGGGAAAATCGGCCGACGATTATCTACACGCGTGAAAGCGCAATATCGAAATGGAGCGAAGAAGGGCGAGAGAAACGATACGGTATGAAGGAGAAACGATTCCGGTGTGACAATCGCGGTCGGACGCGTGTGCACGGATGTTCCACGCGCGAGACAATCTGCTCACGGATGACCGATCGCGCAATCCTGATCGACGCGACGCGAAGGATCGATCGATCGATTCGAAAGCGTTTCATCATTTTTCGTCCGGTCGCGATATTATCATTTGCAACGGCCAATTTTTCGCATCTCGCATTCGACGGCTCGTCGTGTAATTAATTAATTATCTCGGCGTGTTTTTTAATCGGAGTAATCGACAATCGTCCCGCCGCTTGACTGCCTCTCCATTCTGTTCGCGATTTCCAATTGCTGAAAACATTGCGTTAACTGTTCACAGAGAACGTTAGTTACGGTTCGCTGTGAGTCTATTATTTAATTAATACGAGTGGCGCGTCGTTGTATACAGATCAAATATTCGCGCTGACATTTACTCGTTTAAATCAGTATTGTGATACTCTCTCTTCCTATTTGTTCTTAAAATATAGATTCCCGATTGTTTTGATTTTACAACGACAGTGATTATTCTTTTAATTTTATGATGTGTAATGAAGAAAATAGAATAGATATTCCAGATATATACCGTCAACACTAAATTATATTTCTTGAATATCGTGTCAATTGAAAATTATTCTTTTGTGTCGTTATTCCTTCGGTATATTAATTCTTTGTTTTAAATTTATGGAACAAATTCAAAAATCAGAAAGCGTTGTGAAATATTCGCAAGTGGATGCTGCACCCCATTCTGGACTTTTTTTTTCGAAATCAACGACACTCAGGTAGCTAGTATCTCGCGTAACTGCATACGAAGAGCACCGTTAAAATCGCCAATACGGATTAAAATTCAGGGTTTTCGTGCAAAAAAAAAAAAAAAAAAAAAAAAATCGAACGCCGAGCTCGCCGATAAGAGCAAAAGTCGCGCGGCTCTCGGGCCGCATTCGAGAGCGACTTCCATTTCTCGCTCGCGCGCTCTCGGCTCTATAGCTCCCGAAAATAAACAAGGGTGTCCTCTCGCAATCACCGATCCAATTAAATCCGATTACATTTTTCGCCGCCGCGCGGCCCTCGCGCGAGAATCTCTCTCTGGTGGCGTCCGTCCCTTATCGATTCGAAACGATTTTAGAGGGTGGTTTTACCCTCCGACGTTTTTGATTTCGGCTACGCGGCCTCCGCGATACGAGAGACTTCGAGGGCAACGCCTCGCCGCTTCGAATTAAGGGGACGAGCCCCGAAAGAGCGCGGTCTAACCCCGGGATCGTTCGGAAGAGAGACGCGAGACGGGGAACACGAGAGAGAAAGAGAGGAAGGGGAGAGACAACGGAGGGGTAGTAGACAAGAAGGGACGCGGAATCGAGCGAGTCTTCTCAATGTTTATTTTTTACTTCTCGAAAGACCCGAATGCGCACCCCACGATGGATCCCTGATCCCACAGATTCAATAAATATAGCATTGAATAACGGGCGCTGGATACAACCGACGTTCCTGGAGAGTCTCATCGGTGACACGAGATTATTGTCGTAGCCCCCGAAATCCGCGACGAATCGGTAAGAGCATCTTGTTCATTCGCATGGAATGAACAAGAAAAGAAAAAGCGCGAATTGATGCGCCTGATTACGTCGACAAAGAGCCAAGATGCAGATTTATAGGGATAAACGAAGAGAGAGATCGTATAACAGAATTTTATCATGTTTACCGTACGAAGTATAAAATTATAAAATTCCACTCATATTGGCACTCATTTTATATAAATCTAATATATATTTTTTATCTAATGAAATAAAATTTATATAAATACAATTTTTATTTTTTAAACGGTCACACTTTTTGCGGGACAAAATTAAAGAAAAATAACGATGAATTATATTTAATGAAAATAGAACGAAACTTTCTGTCGACCAAAAAAAAAAAAATTAAATTTACACCACTATCGTAAAGTGATAGATAACTGTTTAATATGCATTGCATCTCCCCTCTCCCTTTCCGCTACGTTGAAAAGTAATACGTTGTTCGGAAGTTACAAAGGATTAGCCAGCCTCAAAGCTAGCTGCATCTACGTCCATTTAATTTTGCATTCGTAAACAGCGTCCAGATGTTTAGCTTGCTACAGCATCGCATATGGCGACTCCCCATCGGACCAGCCATATCGTCGATCTAACTCCGTATCGAAATATCTTTGATATTAAAAACAATTGCATCAAACTTTATATTTGAAAAAAGTTTCATAAATTATCTCGAGTTAATTATTACGATGATATTATTGTATCCCCATCAGAATTTATGTTATAAATGTCAATATGTTAATTTAATATGTATGTGAAATATTTTATTGAGTATATTTTCTGGATTATTAATATTATGTGCTCCCTAATTTTCTCATAACAATAATAATATAATAATAATAATAATGTCTCATAACAATAATGTTACGATCAATTCATTTACAAAACCATATGACAAAAAAAATCATCGATAAACCTATCAATTATTCTCGAAGTATTCGCTTACATATCTTCGCAATTCGACTCTGTTTTTGCTATCCCTCCGACCACGCAATATACGCAACTATCAAAACTTATGTAACTCTACTCATGAAAGCTTCGAAAATGCATTCTCCTTACCGCACAAGCCCACGCTACGCCACGAAATCAAATTGCAGTTGCATCTCTCGCAGTTTGAATAATCGTCGGTATTTGAGCGCGTCTAACTGTAATTGGGGCCTAACTCTAATTACGACGAGGAATCACCGATGCATTTTAGCTAAGTAATTTATGAGTATAAAGTGAGAATAATATTTCATTCTCTTTTGTTTGGCAAAAAGAATTATACTATAAAGATATCTCGTCATCGCATTGTCAGTTGATTCACAATGTCAACATTCAGTTCGAAGCAGTTTTATATTATAATATTTGTCAAAATACCTGTAATATCGAAAAATAAAATCAAGTTGTCTAATCAATCTTTTTATCGAAAGATTTTTTTATGTATATCGATGATATATTGCATGATTTTTGAGATTCATTTCATTAATCGTTCGATCTTTTAATTGTTCTTTTATTGTTCGATTTAGCTAAATTAAAGTATGTAAAAAATATTAAAAGAATATTAATATTATTGCAAAATTATATGCTCTATTCGCATAAAATATTAAAGTGACGTATTAAAAAACGAATTGTATTTGAATTTGATATAAAAAAGAAGTATAGTAATGTGTTTAAGATCAAAGATTTTTTGCAATATAGATGGATTGATATATAAATTATATTCTAAGAAGTATTATTATATGCAATTTTAGCGATTCGCGTAACTTTTACGTAACTCCATCATCGTAACCCGAATGAAATCCGCGTGCAATCGACACGCGCGTAAACTATAATTACTGTTATTATCGAGATCGTGTCCCACCAACCTTTGCACTCGTTGGCGTCCCTGGCGGTGGCCCTGGCCCACGGCCGGTCGAAGTGGAAGGGCCGGCACCGCTCGCAGTCCCTGCCGGCGGTGTTGTGCCTGCACTCGCAGACGACCTCGCCGTCCTTGCCGGGGATGCAGCGCGCCGCGTGGCCGTTGCACTTGCACCTGCCGCCCACGGCGAAGTCCGAGACCGCGTAATGGTGGGCCATGGTGGCGGTCGCCGGACCTAGACCGACCGGTACCATTATCACCGCGCCGTTGCTAGCCGGCGTCGGCGTCGTGGTCGTGGATACGGTGATCGGGACGAAGCCCATGTCCCGCACCGCGGCATCGATCGCATCGTTGGATTGCATCTCCTGGGGCGCGAGCACCTGGTGCACCGACGGCAACGCCGTGACCAGGGGTTCCTGCTGCGCGTGCAACAGAATCGCGTTCTTCTGGTTCTTGAGACGCTCCTCGCGCTCGCGTTCCCGCTTCGTCATCTCCTCGAGACCGATCGCCGCGACGTGATGGTCCTCCGCTCCGTTGTGCGACGTCACCTGATCCGGCTGCTGCGGCATGTGCAGCCGGTTGAACACCACGCGGATATCGGTGGCGGTCACCCAGTCCTGCAGCACCGGCGAGTTGTCAAAGTCGGCGGCGGACGGTCGGCCCTCCAGGGTGCTGAAGGCGATCCTGCCGACCGGACCGAGGCCGTCCCCGCCGGTGTAACGGTGACTGTCGGTGCACCGTGCCTCCTGCTCGTTGGACTTGGTAATGGTGGCGCGATTCGGTCTGCCGTAGACCCGGCGGCATTGCGAAGAGTAGAATTGGAACGGCTGCCAGGTCTTGCCGTAATCCATGGACTTGTAAATAGCGATCGAGTCCGGCTTGGCGGCGCGCGGGCAAAACTGCAAACTGACATATGTCAGCTCGTACTTCTTGCCAAGCGAGAGAGTGAGGGTGACATTGTCAGGCGGTGCCGAGAAGCTCTGCGAGCTGACGAGCGGCTCGCTGCGCCAGCAAGTGACGTTGTTTGGATTATTGAGATCAGTCAGGTAACTGGCGGGGAAGCGCCGTCGGGGCGTGCTGTCATCGCACACGTGGCAGTGGCCGATGCCGGCGTTGCCGCCGGGCTCGTCGGTGACGTCGCAGTAGCGGGTGGGCCCGCCGGTGCCGCACGTGGACGACGCCTCCACGGTCGCGCCGAAAGCCGCGTTCACGAAGTCGGGTATGCAACGCCGCGGCCGGTCCTCGTCGTAGCACGGGTCGCTGGGATTCTGTTGGCTGGAGAACATCTTGGCGTAGATCTCGCCGTGGATCCGCTGCGGCGACAGCAGGAACAGCAACTGGCCGAACAGGATCGTCGCGAGGACGGGCCGGAAGGAACTTCGTTGTATCTCCCTCATGTTTCAGCACCGATGGCGAACGTTGTTCGGGGAACACTCCTTGTCGGAGGGTACGGTGTGAAGTTGGTGGCTCTCACCTCTCTTGCTTGACTTTTCCCTCCGAGATAAGAGGGACTGAAATGCGATCGGTCTTAGGCCACGCTCCGCGTCATGTTGAAATCGGAGCGCGTTTAATTTCTGTGTCGTCCGTCTCTCTCTCTCTCTCTATCTCTTTGAATTTCTTCACTCACTCACAGCGATTCACATTATATCGATACTAGCTCAGACGTATTAGTAAACGTATAACAATCGCGATATACGAATTTAATTATATATCCTCACGAAATAATAAACGCACTGTTCCACGCACTCAAACCAAATTTACCGTCCAAGGGAAACCGTTTGATTCACCACTTCGGAAAGAGTTCCTCTCACTCGAAAAGAATTCCGCGGGCACAACGAGCGCGAGACGCGGACCTCTATCTCCGAAAACGCGTCTCGTTCGAATCCGGACGATCGAGGAACGATCGACGGACGAGCCTTCGATGGCGCGAAAAGCGAGGGGAGTGAATCGGAAACCGACGATAAAACAATCCTAATCTCGACAGCGGCTCGCCGCTAACTGAAACGCCGTCCTCGCACGATGCGCATCCGAACTGCCGCGAAGTCCCTCTCCGGTCGCGGGCCCTCCCCACCCCGCCGCCGCCGATGCGTGCACCCTCCCTTCCCCTTCCTCCCCTTCACTCGGTTTTCCTTCTCATCTCCGTTCGGCCAACGACGCCGTCGCTCTCGCTCGCACGCTCACGTGGGCCAATCGGACGGCACGCTCGCGGCCCCCACGCGAGATGGTCCACGGATTCAAAGCGCCGGAGGGATGCTGCGTGCGCTACCATGGACCGGAATCGGTCAACTGACCCCCGAGGATGCTTTTTTTTCGTATGGGAGAGAAAGGATGAGACGCATTGCGTGACTTTTATTTTTTTTTCTTCTATTTCGGCGACTTTAAACGTTAACCTGTTGGCTCGTTTGATTTTCGGATTTCTTTTTTTGTTGCGTCTGAATTACACGTGATTCTAATTTAATATGGATGATAGAAGTAATAACGTTCTATATAAAATATTCGGATTATTTATATATTAGATATGTAATAGAGAGTTGCTTTCACGTAGAAATATTCGAAAGAAAGATTGAGGAGATTGAGTTTATGAGAAAAAATGTATTTAATGCATTATTGTTTTTCAATTTTAATTACGATAAAATTTTGTATTTAAAAGCGGAAAGTCTTCTCTCTATATAATCGCACTTGAAAAAAAGTCGCTTTTGAAAAAAAAATGTCAGTAATAGTGTGACAAAATATATACATATCTTTAATCTTATCAAGATGATCTGTTCACATCCGACTTACATTTTCGTCCTCTTTCTTTGAAACGTTATACAATAATTTTCTGTCACAAGAGAGGGATTTACATACATGAATATATTATACGATATGCACAATATTATGTAACATTACAATTTCCTGTACATACCGTCTTTGCGTAGCACATAGTGCATAGTGGACAGTACACGTGTATATGTACGTTATTTGTCTTTGGCCGTTCAATCATCGTCCCTCTATGTACTCAAGCATAATATTGCTCAATGTAATCCGTTTCCGTTAATACACTCTACCGCTGAATATCGCCTCTATTGAGTAATGTCTTGATTAACTGGCTCTGATTAACGTTCTTCTAGATTATAATTGAAATTATGAGATACAAAATATCGAAATAAAATCCTTGCGACTGCAATGAAGATTTATTATATAACGTTATAATGCAAATAGACTCTACAACTAACAATAAGTGAATAATAAAATAAACAGATAATTTTTTTTTAATATACTCTACTATTATATATATTATGATATTTTATAATATATATTATAATATATATTATAATATATTATGTATTTTCTCAAGGTCAAAAATTATTCCCATAGAAAAATTTAATTGGGCATTATCCTTCTTCGCGACTAAATATTTTTCTATCTAATTATATAAGTTTCAAGTTATAAGACTTCAACATTAAAAGCCGCTCGTATAACAGTAAATTGATGTCTCAATATCTTTGATAAGAAGTATTACTTCAGTTCTCGACTACGGTTCTATTGAACAAATACTTTATAAGATATCCCGTATGGATATTGCTATGAATGTTCAAGAGTGGATGCGAGAGGTATCGATGAAGCAATCGAACATTGTTCGTCAATGGGACATGTTCATTCAAGGAATCGGTCGCCGCGAGCGGATCGTAAAGAACGCTCGCTTCTCTGTCCCGAGAGGAATTTATCCGCGGATTATTTCATCGCGATCTCCCTACGGGCGAGTGGGTTCTTCCGTCGATTTCGTCGAGGGAGAAAGAAAGAGAAAGAGAGAGAGAGAGAAATTGGCGATTGAAGAAAAAAAAAAAAAAAAAAACAGACCAAGATGCAGAAAATGAGAAAGAAGAAACGAGAAAAGTCGACGAGGAGGAATGGGGAGAGGAGGGAGCAACGTCTGTTGCCGTCACGCAAACTCCTGTTGGACCGCAATGTGGAAAGGCCTCGTTGGCTAACTTGACAGCCCGAAATCTGGTATAGGATACGATAAATATAGGTCCAGGCGAAATTAAGTCAGTCCTGGATCACTTCGTGAGTCTAAAGGTTGATCTAAGATTCGTTATAGTTTTTTCTCCCCGGTTGGAATCTTTCAGAGCAATCTCCTTTCTATTAGCGGTGGTTTCAGATAGCGATAACTATACCGTCAGCATTTTTGAAATACATTTCCTGTTGCTCTTGCTAAAGAGATAGCCTACACTAGTGTCACATTCGTTAATTATGCATCAGTTTATTGATTGTATTAGATATATGCAGTCTAGTAATCTTATATATGAATGTTACTTAAAATTCTTTCTTGACATTAGCTGGTATGCTCTATTTAATGTACATCATGAATTAATACAAGTTAATTAATTTAAATAAAACAAATAAAGAGTTAATTAATATATTTTTACGAAAATTTTAATTTGATGGAAACGAATAAAGATACCAAGATATTCAATGTTAAAACCTTAGAAAATACCGGGAATCAGAGCACTTAATCAACTTTCCCAATTCGAGAATTTTAAAAAATTAGAGAAAGAATCGCATTCAACAAATGTATTACGTATACTTAAATGTATGCAACGTTCCTATAAAAAGTGAAGAAAATGCCGCGTCGGTGCGATACAACTCGCTCGAGATGAAAGACGCGTGAAAACGCGGGGCCACCGTTTAAAGGCGCCCCGCAGTCTGACAGAAGGCAATTTATGTACCGAAAGGCCATCCTCCGGGCAGGCAAAGTATCCAAACGCAGATTCCAAAGTACCCAAAGCACAAGAAACATAATTATGGCGTTCGACGCAGGTGGTGGCTGGAATGCTTTTCACAAGCGCTACCTCGTCGCGTTAAAACGCGTTCCTTCTTTTGCGCGTTCCTTAGGCCTCGTATTCAGTGTCGGAAATCGGGGAGGATTATTCAAGATATACGAGTATCCTCGCACGCAAAAGGATATATATATTTCGTGATTGAAATAATAATACTTAATAATACAATCTCAGAATTTGCGTGGATTCGTACCTTTGATCTGAATGCTTGACAATTTTTTTACAAGATGCGTTGTTATTTACAATTTATGCTATTTATAGGAACTATAGCACTGCGTATAAAAATGCGACAAAATTATATATAAATTATTTTTTATACGATTTTACATCTCCTCGTAAAACATGTGTGCTATAAAAACAATCGATGCAATATTACTTATCGCTTGAGTTTAAATGTTCAAAATTAAGAATTTGTAACTTAATTGCATTTTCAAAAAATTCTTCATTTTTTCGATTAATTTTAATCTAAAAACTATTTGTGCTACTGGAATCAAAAATTACCTGGCATTCTTTGTAACCTCTCGCAGCGTCGATCAGCTGTGCCGTTCCAGCTCGCGCTCCCGCGTCTCGCCCCCCGCGTCCACGCGCCAGGAGTGGAATTCGGCGTCACGCAGATCACGTAAGGCTAGGCGAGCCCCGCGCTGCTTCTCCTGCGCTGAGAAACAATTAGAGCTACCTACGCTAATAACACAACTCATACGTACCGAGCACTGGCTCGCACCACGACATCTCCGCCTCGTTCTCGTCTCGTCTCGGCGGACACTCCGATGCACCGTAGCACTCCGACACGCACTGCACAGTTCTCGCGTATCGACCACACGTGTCACCGATCGACCACGTGCCGTGGATCATACGCGAGCATCGTGCGTATCGGGGGCCCACGGGGCGCTAACCAGCGGCGTGCTATGTCGCCGGAGTTTCGGCGAGGCGGGCGGGATGTTTGAGATTGAGCGTCTCCAACGGGAGCGCTCGAAAATTGGCGCGTTAGCGGCCATTTCGCGCGGCGCGCGGCCCGCCGCGAATCAAATCACGCGCAAACAGCGGCGCTCAGCGAATCGCGTCAGGCCCGTGGCATTGCTCGTGCCGTTCAAAGCGGGCCACGCAGCGGTCACCCGAGAGAGCCGAAATTAATAACAAATGCGAATAACAAGTTCTAATTTTCCGAATCATCGCACCGCCGGGCTGCAAAAAAAAACACATCTCGGTGTTAATAAATTCTCCGCGAACACCAAGAGAACATAATACTATCTCAGAATTCGCGTGGATTCGTACCTTTGATCTGAATGCTTGACAATTTTTTTACAAGATGCGTTGTTATTTACAATTTATGCTATTTATAGGAACTATAGCACTGCGTACAAAGATGCGACAAAATTATATATAAATTAATTTTTATACGATTTTCTGTTAAATCTCCTTGTAAAACATGTGTGCTGTAAAAACAACCGATGCAATATTACTTATCGCTTGAGTTTAAATGTTCAAAATTAAGAATATGTAACTTAATAGCATTTTCAAAAAATTCTTTATTTTTCGATTAATTTTAATCTAAAAACTATTTGTGCTACGGGAATCAGTTTTTGTAAATTAAGCTTTAAGAATACAAGTGGATAACAATTTTCACTCTGTA